TCCCCCTGGAAGATTTCCTCCCGTCCGTCCGAACCAGCTCCGCACGAACTCTGCTGCTGCTTTGGATCCCAGAGAGCTTTCTTAGATCAAGAATCCCGGTGCCCTCCGACCCGAGTTCGGGAAGGTTAAGGCAGGCACCACCAGACCACAACCCACAATTTTTGGAGCCCCGGCCTTGATCCAAAACCGTGTGCACAGGAGGTTTGGATTAAACATCAAAGAAGAAATTACCTTAAAACAAAGTTGTTTGGCAAAGAAAATTGCTTCGCCATAAGAAGAACCCTAGGGAATGGTAAATTGCTTTTGAATATAGACTTTTCAGTGGCGCGGTCATTAATCATGTTAATGTAAACTGCGCTAAAACAAAAATTTTCTAAGCAAGTCTCTGGGCACATCAGTGTACCTAAGCCTCGGGGGTTTGTTTCCAAAGCTCACATCCCAGCACGCAATGAAACTGCTGTTAATGGGGTCAGCTATTACAGTGCAGTCCCCGACCCTGGGCCATAATAAAGGTGACTCAGCCATGTAGAAAGAACCCTCATAAAGTTAGGCAGGAAACAAACACAGAAATTAATCAGAGGAGGAGAGGCAATGATTTTGGAAAGTGTATTCACGGGGCAAGTTTAAACAGCGACTCTCCCTGGATGATCAGACATTTCAGAGAGGAGTTGAGGGAGGCCAGTCAACATTCCTTGCAGCGCTCAAGTCCCCCGGCCAGGCCCTGTTTTGTAGGGTGCAGGGCAGGGCAGCAGCTGGACAAGACAAGGAGGAGTGTGGAGCCCAGCAGAGTTAAGCTGCGCGGAGCCCAGCCAGAACGGGCCATGTGCTTCGTGTTGGCAACAAACTGGTTCTTTCAAGAGAGGAAGGGTCTGACAAAAACGACAGCTGCAGCAAAGCAAGCAGCTCAGAGGCAAAAGCCTCGAAAAAAGCCGCAGGTTTAGGAGTCTCCCCTCAAGACAAAAAACAAACAAACAAACAAAAAAAATCATCTTTGGGGTTTTGCAAGGGCTAATCTATTAATGTGTCCCCCTTGCTGGATCAATTAAAGAGAGCCCCTCCACATCTGGTTTCCATCTAAAACCGAAACTTGTATTATCAGCATATTACATAACAAATTATGCCTGCAGGTTTCTTTTATTACACATCAGAGAGGTGTGTGTGGTACGGCTAATGATGGCAGTGGTGCTGACCTGCGTGTTTGCTTGTATCAGGTTTGGTTTTGTTTTTGTCTTTTTTTTTTTTAAGGGCAAGAACGAAAAGTTTCTGTGCAGTACGCAATTCAAAAAAAGTCACACGGCCGGGACACAACATCGGCTGAACAGTCCGCCAGTGGGTCCGGCTCTCGGTCTCCGGGACCCACCACCGCACCAAGCAGTGGGTGAGAAGGGCGTACTGTTTAAAGAGCACGGCAAAGACATACCAGCCTGCTCCGAGGCGTCCCCTGCTGCCAGCTCCCAGAGTGTACCGGGGTGCCTGGTCTCCAGTCTCCAGCAGGGGAAGAGAGAGCTGGCTAGCCCTTCCCAACCCTTCCACCATTGGTCAGGCGCCTGCCCGCTGAACCCGCTTAAAGGACACGCAGCCCATCAGGCTTCCACAGAACTGGGGGGGGGGGCAGCGGGGGAATGGAGGCCAGGTGACAGTGAAGTCATCAACAGGGGGACAGAGAGAGGTGACAGGTGTGGGGAGAAAGAGCCTAAGAAATAACAACAGGGCTTCCCGTAGGATGTCAACGAAGGAGAGCCACGATGACCCCTCTAAGGTATCTTAACATAAAGGTCTTCCTAAAAGAACTTTAAGAACTTCCAAAACACTACTACATGTGCGACATATCCTAAATTGAAAACAGAAGGGAGAAACTGACTGAAAACATTATCAATCACAATCATGGAGCACTCGTGCTGCCAGCCTTAGGAATTCAAGTCCACTTCTGCAGCAGACAATACTAACTTTTATTTAAAACTGCTCTTCAACGTTAAAAGGGTCACGTTATCAACATCACATTCTCAGGGGAAAATAAGAAGTCCTTGGGCAAAATGATCTGAACTGGTCTTAAAACCACCTTCTTCTCTAGAGAGGCATTTGGGGAAAAAACAGACCTGCCCCAAGCCTCTCCTTAGTTTCCTAGACTGCAACGGCGCCCTGGGAGCTGGATCGCCGCATGCTCCTGGGTCTGCAGGACCGCTGGCAGCATGCAGACCCTAGCCAAGTGCAGACCCTGGGTCGAGGGCCACAAGTCCTGCACTTGGAACACAAACCTCCTCCCACTAACAGGGGCCTGTCATCGGGAGGTAGCTGTTTCTGGTTTTTTATCTAGCTGTCGCCAGTTAAGGGATGGGGTTGGGGGCGGGGAAACAAAACCCCACAGATCTGCAATTCAGTATCAAAACTGTAACTGAGACAAGTCACTGCTAAGTGGATAAATTAAAATGAAACCAAAACCCGGCCAAGTCCGGAACAGTGAGTTTCACCAGGTCTACTAACTCCATTCCCTCCCAAGTCCTCAGACCAGGTGACATCTTTCAACGGAGTCTAGGATCTGGAGCAAGGAGGGATCCCCTTCCAGCCTGTGGGAAGTGCTGGGAACACATATGCTAGTATGTCATTTGGAAGTCTGCTAATGCGTTGTAGGCAGCACAAGACGCTTGCCTGGCTTCCCAGGCCAATAAACAATGCCATTCCAACTCCTGCAGCAGTCAATAGAAAACACTCCCTTGTCTCCGCCATCCAACAATTCAACAAACATTTGTTCCTGTGGAACAACCGTCAGCCTGGCTCCATCTGCACCGGCTTGGGCAAGACAAGCGCGGCGGCGGAGGCGGCGGCGGCGGCGGCACCAATGCCCTGCCCCAGGGTCCCGGCCCGTGAAGCAGCCCTCCGCAGGGGCCACTCACCCAACACCACCGAGTCCGGAGACTGTAACGTATGGAAGACTCGGAGTGTGGCCTATAGGAGGCAGAATCCCATTCATCAAATGCTGCAAAGAGCCGTTCTTTGTTCACCATCGTACGAAGTACAGTACGTGTTAATGAACCCGGGCGGTCAGAAGGAGGGAGCCCGGCTTCGGGGGGCTTCCGGGGGCGAAGGACCCGTGCAAGCTAGCCCCCACGACTCGCCCGTGCTCCGCCGCTCTGTCCCGCGCCTCGAGCATTGTTCCCCAAGTCTGCAGGCGGGGGTGGGGAGCTGGGGGTGCCCGAGAAGCCCCTTGGGGCAATGCACACCGAGGGCCCTCCCCGGATTCTAGGTGTCCTCGCCTCCTTCGTCCCTGCCCCACCAAGAGAAACTCCCAGCGGGAAAGCTGACTCCCACAGGCTTGCAAATCAAGGACTGGCAAAAATGTGACTCGACCAGTGTGCCCGTGCCGGACGGCCCTTCTCGCCATGTGCAAAGCCACGCCGGCGCCCCCAGCTCCGCAAACCCCCGCCGCGGCCACCCCGCGGGCTTCCCCAGCCGGGAGCAGAACGCCCCCTCACCCCCACTGCGACCGCCCCGGCCGGTCCAGCAGCCACGGAGCCCGCCGCGGGGCGTCCGCGTCCCGGGGGTGGCGGACGCAAACTTCCGCGAACAAAAGAGTTGTCTGCAAACGGTGCGGGAACTTCGGGGTTAGCAGGGGCGCTCGGGTCCCGGGTCCCGGGTCCCGGCGCCTTCGCCGCTGGCGCCAGCCAGGGCTCAACTTGAGACGCGGAGAGGAGCACACCCCCGGGCGCAGCCGGCCCCGCACCCGCCCCGGGGAAGCGCAGACTTTTCCGCAGGGGCCGGGCTGGCTCGTTCCCCTGGCGGCGCTCTGACAAGTCTCACGCCTGCACCAGAGGCGACACTCAGCACCCCGAGAAACCGCCCGAACCAACCCGAAGACAAGGCGGAAAAAAGGAAACCAGCAACATAAAAAAATAATAATAATAATAATAA